TGTATGTATGTATGTATGTATGTATGTATGTATGTATGTATGTATGTATGTATGTATGTATGTGAGAGTCTCCTGTCTATTAATATGAGCTAACTGTAGAACTGTGAATGGTTAGGATGCTAAAATTTGAATTCTCGGCTATATTTAGATTCATAAAAGAAAAATTAACTTTCACGTCCTGCTGCCCACGTCTTGACACACGGAACATCAAAATTATGTTTCAGCACTGAGCATTATGCTAATATAATAAATCAGTCATTACTTGCAGCTGTGCTCAACAAATAAGCGCGAGAATGTTAAAAGAATTCCTTGTATTTTTGACGCACGTAGCGGCTGCTTCAAAAGCACATAGTAGCACTAATCCTCTGGTTTGACTTATTTGGAAAAGAGGTGCATGTAATTTTCGCCCTCCCCTTCTCCGTCAGATACTTCTGAGGTGGCTGTTGGTTCTACCACTGAAATTTATCTGAGTGTTCTTACTCAACGATCCATGAATGGAGATTAAAATTCCAGGCTGTGAAAAGCTTGCAATATTTTGAGCATTTAGCTAAGTTTAACATCTTTTCAGGCTACCGCAGTATTCTGTAGTTTTAAGAGAATGCGGAAAGACACGGCCTGGACCATCAAATGGAAGAGGAAAAGGTGTGGGAGTAATGGCCAATGAACAAGGAAGACATACGATGGCTCAGGTGCCCAGTGAAGTTTACGCGCCACAAAGGTCGTAGCGCTTCAGAATTTACTTAAAACATATGTACTTGAGAATTGTAAATGTCTTGTGAATGAGGACAGCATTTGAGCCATGAACTCAGGATGCTTTGGTAAATTGACAGGTAGCTGCTATTTGGCCGATTAGGACGATTTCAGACTCATCATCACATACCAGTAACTCTGGTTAATTAATCCAAATTAAGTTCACAATGCATCATTACTGTCAAAACCTAGATAGTAACACACCAGGATTGCCGGTGCGAACATGCATTTTTACGCTAAATTTGAAGCAGTCAGGTTGCTAACATTACGAATGGTTGCTGCTTTACAGTTTTTAAAATCTACAGTCATGTTGGCTGCTTTTTGTTCTTTTCACGCATGCGAGGGAAAACGGTGTCCACTGGGACGGCACTGTTGCATCATACAGCCCAGTGAAACCTTAACCTCCAGCATGCACGTTTACAGTGAACTGCGTATGAGGGGGAACGGGTCATTTCCTGCGACCGGTCGTTCAGTGAAAATGTAAATTTGGAAAATGAACAGAATGCCGACAAAGAAAGATGACGAAATATGAGCAAAATGACGTCGTTTTTATGCGCTTTGTGCTGCAACATTTGCACAAAACGCACACTGTCGAGACCCTGTGTGTGTGTTTGTTCCGAGTGCATTTTATCTGAAGATTTCAGCTTGGGAACCAGAGAAGCTAGGAAGCTGAAATTTTAAGGACGAACCTCCTACCCGCGTTTAATCTCACAAACTCGGATTTAGCGTCCACACGCCTAGGCTTCGTGAACAGTCACGTGAAAGCTTTGGCGTCTAAAATAACAGCTCGGGAAGCACACAAGGTAGGAAGCTGAGATGTTCTATGCTCGTGTGTGACCCTATAAAATTAAATTCAGCCTTCACTTGCACCTAGGTCTCACGTACGGACACATGAAATTTTTGACGCCAAAATTAATAACTTGGGAGCCATGAAAGCTAAGGGGTTGAGATTTTAGGAGATTGTTCTTTGATCGCGTATGATCCCACAGACTAAAATTCAGCTCCCCCGCATGCTCAGATCTCATGTAGGGACACGTGAAATTTTTGGGCGGAAAATTAATTACTCGGGGGCTGTGGAAACTAGGAATCTGAAATTTTAGAATAATGTTCATGTCCATGCATAAATTCAACTGCTATGCACGCCTGCCTGATATATGGGCACGCGAGACTTTTGGCGCCAAAATTGATAACTCACGAACCAGAAAGTCAGAGGGCTGGAATTTTAAGACAATGCTCCTAGAATTTCAACTTCCCAGGTTCCCTGGTTGTTCAGTTGAAAGTGGATGACGGAGCTCACTCGCCTTTGAAAAAATACACATCTTGACAATAAGCGTTTTTGCCTTTAAATGCAAAAACGCATAAAAACGCTCTTTCTGACACAATAATGCACCACTTATGCAAATTTTGAACATCCAGTTTGTCTAATTTGAGGCCAGTTACAGCTGCCGCAATAAAAGAGAAAGCACAGGACGGGATAGTAGTTTCTAATACTATATCCACAATTACTCAGGCAACAAAGCAGCGAGTCACAGCCGACTGAAAGAACAATCACCAGCCGGTCTGATTAGTTGACCCATTCAGTAACAAAACTGTTAACTTCACTGTGCTTCAGAAGCAATTGTTGCGGGCTTGCTTTTCAGGCTGATGGAAGGGGGTGCGTTGCTAAACAGTGTTTGCTAAAATCTCTTCCACTACATCGCTGTTACGAGGTGACAGGGGATTTATCAATTTACCAAGCCGATGAAAAATTCCTTAGCATTTTCCAGAAATGCACAATGTGAAGCAGCATCACACGATGCAAATTCACAGCCGCTCACTGAGGAAGTGATTTGTTTATAGCAGCAAAGCTGGGATAACGATGTACACAATGCCACAAAAATTGGCTGAAACGATTGCTTTACAACAACGGTTACTTCGCGAGGCAATGGTTGAACAGGCAAATATCTTGAGAACATCACCGAAAGCAGGAGGCGCTCAGTGCTGCAGTGGGAGGGAACCAAATGATAAGAAAGCGCAGGAAGAGTGTGAATGGAAGGTATGCTTTACCAGCTCCTGAATAAAAAGTATGCGCAGCAATCGCTCTAATAAAAGGTTCCATGAGGATATTAAAATTTTTTAGCATAAATCAACTGTGAATCAAGACACTTTCGCAATAATACGCAAAATTGGCCGCTCTCGTTTATTATGCGTTTTCTGCAGCTATGCAATGCGGAAAACGCATACTGACGAGAGGTTGTCTGTGTGTGTTTGTGTCTGTGTGCGCGCAGGGCCTCTATACCGATTTTTCATCTCGAGACATACAAAAGCTACAGGGCTGAAACTTTGGGGGCTTAATCTGCATGCACGTGCGGGCCCTCATCCCTAAAATAGGCGATCTTACCCGCGTGGTACCACGTAAGAGCCGGTCATAATTTTTTAGGGCAAGTTGTTAACTCGTAAACCAGAAAAGCTAGAAAGCTAAAATTTTAAGGGGATGTTCCCCGTCCAAGTAGGTCTTAATGAGCTCAAACCCAGCCTCCGGGTGAGCGTGGTACCCGCGTACGAGCCCGTCAAAATTCTCGGGTAAGCCCGCCAAAACTCGTGAACCAGAAAAGCTAGAAAGCTGAAATTTTAAGGGGGTGTTTCCTGCCAGTTCTAGCAGCCAGTCTTAATTTGTTTAGCTTGAAGCATTTGCCGAAAAGGCCGATGCCGGTAGTGACCAAAACTGCGGGAAACTATGCAAAAAGCGCATCTTTGCATGGGCAGCCCGTGCATTGGCCAATTATTTTTATGTCTGTCATGGCTCTCATTGCCAACGGCGCTCATAAGATGAATACCACATTGTAAGTGCTCAGTGAGGGCGGGAGGGACGAAACTGCTATTCACTCTGGGCCGCAAACTTTTCCACGCATCGAAACTGAAGGTGATTTGGGTATTCCCAGGCAGGAATCGGCAAAAAGCGTAGGCTTGAGATAAGTAGTTAGACTGCCCGACAGGAAATGTTCCCTAGGTGTTTCTTTGGAACACTGCTCTGCTCTGGAGGGTATTTTATCTCATCTGGGTGATGGCTTGCATTTCAGATTAAAAGACGCCCTGATGGTTCCCGATACATCACCAGGAAACCAGTTAGGAATCGGCTACTCAAAGAAAGAGAAGAACAGCTGAATAAGGTTCAATCACTTCTGTTTTTTCCCCATATTTATGCAGATTAGAATAAGTAGCATTATGTTGGAGGAACGGCCATGATTGCACATACTTAATACTGATTCTTAAAGCGCAGTGACTGATTGTTTTAGAGCGTGTTTGTGATAGGCCTGGAGGTTGTAGCTCCTCAAAAGATGGAATCTATAGCTGCTTTAGCCTAATTTAAGCCAAATACGTGTCTAAAGTTAAGCCCAAAACTATAAGGCAGGACAGTGGCGAAGCAAGCTTTCAATAAAACCTACGTACATTTCGCGAACAAAAAGAAGCCCCTTCCAAATTTGAGTGTCATTTGCTTAAGGTGAGATTTACTAACGTTATAATTTTAAATTTATATTTCAGATAGTGCACTTTGGTACCTCTCTTTTAGCTTTGCGTTTCCTCAAGCTAGCTTTTGCGCTTCTTTAGTAAGATTCTGTTCTCCGACTATCTTTTCACAATAATAATTTCCATCCTATTCCCCTCACCTCACTACCACCTTCCCCTACCCTCACTGCAGCCGAATGACGCAAAAGTTGGACGCAAAATTTACCCAAAACGACACAGAATTTTGAGAAACGCTGACTTAAAGAAGGCAAATTCCGGCAGCAAAACACCAAAAACGTCATACTCAAGCAACTGGAGAGTTACCAGGACATAAGGTATGAGTATGACCGATCCAAAAAGATGGAGCTCCTCCCATAGCAATCTCTTATGTCCCTTTCAATCCCAGAAAATTTGCAATGGCGCTCCAACCAGTTCAGACGTGCTTAACGGTTGATTCTGATTGTTAGGTTGTTGATTTCCCGCGTTTATTTGTTGAGTTGTGCAGGAGAGAACGGGTACAAGCACAGATGACGATGCTATGAGTGAATTGAAAACTGGCCGATTCTGGACTCGAGAGGAACGTAAAAAGCAGTGGGAAAGAGCTAAGCAGCGCAAAATGAGGCACCATCAACTGATGGTCCAACGAAATCAGCAACCATCCGACCAGGTTTGGATATGCACAAGTGATTACTGACGGACCATAGAGAAAACATTACGAGAAATTTTGGAAGACTGAAAAATACGACGAAGTAACAGAGTTTGGCCCGGGAACATTCCTCTGGCAACAATTTTGGGTAGCAAAATATAACATTAAGGAAGGGTTTGCAAATTTCAGTTGTTTCAGCTCATTGTACAACTATCACGCAAAAAGATGATGCGCCGGAAGGGCAATCCGCTTCTGGACAAGTTCACTACCATCCAGGAGTTTCTGGCTCATGCAAATCGTGATATTTCTAGTCGCTCTATAGGCGGGATCTTATCAGTAACCACTGTGTGAATCACGAGTATACGAATTAAACGATCGGTTTTATTTGAATGTGCATAACTTCACAGAATATTCCGACTGGCTTTCCCCTGGACTTTAAAAAAACCCACTCCTGACTTCATCATTTTATTCATGGATTCAAATCTATTCCAGTTACACATGGGATTCCATTCTGTGAATCTATTTACAAACACATGTGTGTACATACATACCACGGCGCGTTTTACTGCTAGTCTGCGAAAGCTCAGGTCCGAGTTTTTTGACCAAAATTTATCTCATAGCTAAAACTCTGTCCCCACTAGGAAGAACTATGTCCCGTTTCTACTTTTACCTGAATTAAACGACCTAAAACGAACTCCTCGCTGCCCGTTACGCTGGCTGCAACTAACAGGTGAATTTAGCGCATCTTTAGTGATATTGTTTCGGCATATTTTGCGCTTCGCTGAGTGAACTCAACACTAATTTACTTAACCTTCCATCCAACCCATGAAGACGAGGTGAAGCGCATCGTCCCCAAGACCTGGGTGCGCCACTGTAAGCTTTTTACATTTCACATGTTTTATAACACATGAAAAAAAAATTACAAATTTCGTAAGAGCTTAAACAGTATGGTACCCGAAATACGGATCCGGTAAAGAGGGCTGCGAGAATTATTGATATCACGCGATGAGATGTAACCGGATATGAAATTTGCACAAAACGAAAAATAAAATGGGCAAGGAATACTGAAAATATGAGGACAATGCCTGAATGTTTTTTTTACAGAAATTTTCGGAAATCACAAGAACTCTGCGGGACTCATACTACTAGCTAAACAGATTATTCTGTTGGATTTTTAAATAGAGGAAAATACACTGAACTTCGTTCTTTATTGGTGTTTTTGAAAATCGACTCACAAGGCTACCTTTTCTAATATCGATCCGGCAGGAAAATCAAGAAAAAAAAAGGTGTAGAGGAAAATCATTTCCAAGAAGTGATTAAAGACGGGTAAAAAACCGCACAGACCCGATAAAAAAACACCACATATGATGAGGAAGTCACAAAAACGGAAAATAAAAAATTCCTGAAAATGACAAGCAATGTCGGGCTCAAATCAATCACAGTGCGAGATTCTACTTACAGTTTCCCCATAATTTTCCCGTCATAATGTCGAAATAAATCCTTCGTAATATTTAGGACCTCTTTTTATACAGCTATCAAGTATATTTCGATTTTACGGGACAACAATATCAGATTCATCTCACGCTCTGCCGCTGAAAAATTTAAAAGAACCACGGCTGTTCCTCCCATTTTATAAAATCGATTGATCCCGCACAGCAAAATCCCGTATTTGTACCCAATATAATGAAATTTGACAACAGTTAAACAGACATACTTAAAAGAATTAAGGACAAGTACGGTATACACACACGGACGCACCCGCTTATACAGACAGTGAAAAAAGGTGGCATGTGTAAACGAATATTTCAGTCGCGAAAAAATCCTGAATGATCAATGGCATTGATTAAATGAAAATGGAGGTTTTCGAATTCCGATGAACATGCACGATGCAATTATGTGAAATCCATATTGTTCTGCTGCTGATAAGCGCTAGCACCAGAAGACTGGTTATCCGGGGAAAAGTTTGCTTGATCCCACTGAATGTCTGGAGAAAGTTGGTTACTCAAATGAGATGATGGCGATGGTCCACTCCCCGCTGCCGATATCATCGGATCACCCTGCAAATACAGAAGTTCGAAAAGTCTGCCAGTGTACCATACAGTCTGTTCCCAAATACATCAAAATTAGTTTAGAAACGCGGAAATAAGGTATAAAGAGGCAGATGTGCTCAAAGCACCAAAATTTTAAAAAGGATATCGAATTTGACACTAAAATAATGCTGAGCTGTGCAAATAAGGAGCAAAAACAGTAAAGGAAAGGCGATTTCCGGTTTGAGTGAAAGGCGATGTCCGGTTTTACGCGAACGCCATCTTCGGTGTGAAGAGGCAGAAACAGATCCTAATAAAGTAAAGAGAACGTTTCAGTTCTGGCGCCAAATGCCATTTTGGCCATTACTTTGTCAGGAGCTGTATCTGTCCTGTCCCAAGTAAATATTTTGCTCTTGTGACTAGCTATGCTGCCTCAATTTAACCCATCACGTAGTCTACGTTTTGATGGTGGCAACGACCATGGAATATCGAAGCACACCGGAGGTGGGAAATTTCAACCTTTTCATTTGACCTTTCTTCTGCATCCTTCCTGCTCCTAACGGATTCAAGCTTAAGCTGTGTACAATTATAAGGACGATTAATTCCTAGGTTGTAGAAGAAAGAATGTTAACAAGCTAAATAACTGGCATGCAACCCTCTCCGGCTCGTAAACCATGAAGGGATGAAAACCATTCAGATAAACATTACTTTCAACTATGAAAAACACGAAGAGATGAAGAAACCTGCAAAATGGGATGCATTGCATTCAGATCATCTATTATCAAATCCGGAAACCCTTGCTGTTGTGAGTTCAGCGACGCAGCAGCTGTTCCGTGCCCAAAAGTAGCTGATGGAAACTGATGCTCTGTTGGGCTGAAGCTACCGACACTGTAAAAGCAGTATATAATTATCTCCAAAGAACTTTTACAGCCACACAACTTTTGTTATTAACCACCAGACAGCAGCTCCTTCTAGAATACAATGTCAAAACCAACTTCAAAAAGTTACTGCCGTCCTGATTATTCAGGCTGGGCACCGGACTGTTGATTGCCATCGCTGCTGTTGTGTCAGTTAATTGTGATAAAAATCCAGAATTCTAAAAAAAAGGAAAGCATCTGACATATGAAGGTTGTTAATCCATAAATTCGAAACAAAAAACGGAAGACTACAACTATTTTGATGGAGCAAAAAAATCGCCGAGCGTGATGGCCCTAAACTCAATCAAAAGGCACCGAAGTCAGACTAAAAAGCTTGCTCGAGCCGGCAAACTGAACCTTCACATGTTATCTAAAATTTCCGGAAAACAACGGTAGCAACATTGTCGGGCGGGCTGACCGCTGGTGTTGCCTTGCTGAAGGGCGCCATATCGCTCAAACTTATGATGCAATCATTTTTTCGGGCTCAGAGTGCGCCAGTCGTTCATGTGCTAGTCGAAGAGCAAACTGGAGTGTGAAAGCAAACGTACAATGCAATTTGATGGCGTATGAGAGGGTGAAGGACGTATTTCGTCAAATGGTTCCTGCTTTACGGATCGGCCATCGCTCAGGAAGCATGTGAACGGTATCGGTGGTAAGGTTACCGCTGCTGGTGGCACCGCCAAACCATTTTTTCGTAAATGTTCTTCCAATTCCTGCAAACCACATAATCTGCTCTCAAAATGCCCCAACAACAGCGCCAATGAGAGAGCGAGAAAAGTGCATTTGCGTTAGGATGTCCGAATAAATTGTTTTCTTGGAAGCTACGTGAAAAAATAACGGTACAATAGGAAAAACAAACATGGCGCATATGTATCCTAACCATAAGGCAACTGGACTAGTGATCAGGACGCAGAGGCTTACGGCGTCAACACGCAAAAATTGTCTCACTGAATGCAGCACATGAAGTCAAAGAAGCTCAACGCAACACAACAGATCCGTGATTACGAAAAAAGTATGCAATCCGCAAAATCACTAACCTTAACACGGTCAACATACAGGCGAGCTGCGTGCTCCAGCTGCGCCTGGTATTGCTGCTGACGCAGCATCGTTTCCCGATCCTTCTGGAGCTGCCGGATGTAGTCGCATGAGGCTTTCAGGATAGTCCCTTTGTTTAATTTTATTTCTCTAAAACGAACACGATGCTTATAAAGAAGAAAGCGGGATGTGGAAAACAAAATACTAGTTGGTTAGTTATGTGCAAGTAAAAAACAGTTGTAAGGAACGGCATTTTTAAGAGTGACAAAAAACTTGCTCGGAAGAACTCTTGGGAAGCATAAGTCCCAGTTCCTTGATGCGATCGTTGATATTATATCGCCTTCGGCGCTCAACTGCAACACTGCATATAATGGACATACATTACCGGCTGGGTACTCCGATGTTTCAGTAATTTGAATTGCTTCCCAGGAAAATACCGGCCGGTGCACGAGGAAGAAACCAGCAGTATCCCCGTGCAACTCGACAGTACGCTCCACGATGCATTTGTTTTTATGCGTTTTCCGCATCTACGCAACGCAAAAACGCATATTGTCGAGAGGCTGTGTATGTGCGTGTGCGTATCTGTCTGTCTGTCTGTGTGTGCGTCTCCACCAAGTTTTCATCTCGACGATTTTAAATTTAGCCCTCACGCATCCCTAGGCCTCACGTGCCTACACGTCAAAGTTCAGATTGGCATTGCGCCAACTTTAGTTTTAAGCTGACCAAGTTGCACAGAGCTGTAAATTTGCAGCGTTGCTTGACGCCTACTGATGTGCTCGTAAAAGTAAGTTAAGTTTTCCAGTCCCGCTGTATCTCACGTACTGGTACATGAAAATTTAACGCAGACAGTTTTGTAGCTTCAGAACTGAAGCAGCTAAAGGGCTAAAACTTTCTGAGCGTGACCAGCGGCTTTCTAAATCGCCTTCCAGTCAGAAATATTTTTAATGCGTTCGCACACGGAATGTAACGGAAACGTGAAGGCTCATTCTGTAGTAGGAGCTCAAAATAGGCAAATATCCAGGAAAAATCATTTTCCCGCCAAAACACATCTTACATGTCCATATGTGAGAACTAAGAAAACGTGCGCATCCATTTTACACCTAGAGGATCTATCTGCAATGACTGACTAAACTGCCAAAATCTCAACTTCACATCACTTGCAGAAATCGAAATAGAAATATGCGGACACACGAATATAAACACAGAAAACCTCCCCATAATTAGTGCTTTTGCACTGCATAATTCCTCCATCTGTCTGTGTGCGTGCCCTAAAAACCGGTGAAACTCTTATTAAAAAGTGATCCCAATCTAGCACTTTTAAGAGCTCAGACAAAATGAGTGATCTGGAACTAATTTTCGATTCCCGATGTGTACTGAGCAATGGCCCTCGCTCACATCCCCGCTTCATGTTAAAAATCACTAAATTTACAGTCATCAGATGGGCCGATGCTTGTACAGCCGCACTGTGTATGCATCGCTCCATCTATCCGCCGTGAGTTATTAGTTATTCGCGAAGCAGTAGGCATGACAGCATACAATCTCTCATGTCCACCAGTACTTTACTGGTAGAATCCGCAAGAATACAGTTTAGCAGTTTAGGATATTGGCACCCAAGTGGATTGAATGCGCAGATTATGACCACCCAAATTTTGGCGCGATGGGTTATCCAGATCTGTTAATGTACCAGCCGCATGCGACAAACCATGACGAAAGGAATATGGTGAAGCACTCTAAGTTAAAAACTGTTATTAAAATGCTTTTCGGCTTGGGAATATTCGACCTGGTTTTATTTTTCTCAGCCCAATCCTCAAAACTCCCTGAAAGTAGAAAAAGTCGCAGGTATTGCAGACATCCCTGTCAACTTGTTACGGACCTTTATCAATGAGCATTCCTAGTCCAACAAGCTAACACTGCAATTTTTGCATCTCTATTGCGAAATCAAGTTTTGCTGGAGCAGCAAGCCGTTGTGTGGAGGAACCAAACTATTCGTCAGAACTAGATGATGCATAGCTAGATGCTCCAGGACAATCAGCACGAGGTGCTGCTCTCTAAAATAGCAATAGAAAATAAGCGCACTCATATTGTGAATATCCTTCTTCCTCCTATCCCGATAAAAATCCGGCTCATTGCCCATATCCTGGTTCACATTTCGTACGAGCGTCTCCATGTCCAAGCTGCTCGTCGGCGCGCTCGATGACATTGTTTGGCGGCAGCTCGAACCAATGATTGGTATTGGTCCAACCGGTGAGATACTTTGGCCCGAATCAACTGAAAACATCGGTCTCGCCTTCGAAACTCAAAAATTAGTCGGAGTGACTACTCAGCTTATAAAAAGGAACTACCCCAATTTCGCTACTTTCCGGTCAAAACCGTATCTTCATTGACTAAAAAACGCTTCTCCCGGAGCTCAACGTTGTTTCAAGTGCATCTAAACCAAGTTTCTCAATTTTCCGTGCTAATTTTTGCGATCCACCGACTAAATTACATCTTCCTCCTCAAGTTCATTTTGTATCTTCATTAGCAGTGCTTTGCAACTTTTCTCTCAATTCTTTGCGTTCCTTTTCTCTTCTCACAGAGGCGATTTCGGTGTTCAGTCGGTGCAAAAAATAGGGCAAGTGATCCACGACA